TTAATTACCAAGATGACAGGAGTATATGTTGTGGCTGATTGACATTGTAATAGAAAGACGGATGAAGCTTAGTGTTGATAATGAGGCAATGCATGTGGGGAAAGCAGTTCTAAGAGATACTCAGTGGTAGGTTGTGAGGAAACCATTCTCTCTCAGGAAAAAGATCTTGGAGCTATGATATGTAATTTTCTGTAAACATCAGCTCACTGTTCAGACATAGTCAAGCAAGTACATAGAACAGTAGGGATTAGTAAGAAAGGAGCATTAAAAATATATAAAAAGTGTAGAAGAGAAAATAATTATGCCACTTTTAATTCATGGTAGGCATGCCTCCAAAGCACTGTGGCCAAGCTTGGTTTTCTAACCTGAAAGCATATAATAGAAAAATACAGAGGTGGACAATAAGAAGGATTAAGTATAGTTTATGTGTAAATAGCAACAGGATATAATTCTTTAACCCAGAGGTCTGTAAAAGCAGAAGGATAGAAAAAGGGAATGTGGTTATTCACTTTCTCTGCCATGCAAAAAATGGAGAAGCTGAGTTCTGCAGTGGTCGTTTAGGTACAGATGTTCTGTCACTTTACATGAAGCAATCACATCACTTGTATATTCTTTATAATGCAGGATAACAAGCTTCTGAATATTGAGCAGATACCTTCATTGTTCTGTAAATAATGACTAGGAATAGCTGAACTTTGTTCAGTTTTGAATCTAGGGGGAAAAGGAGAACTGTCACTGGTGGAACGTGGTGTTCGCTACCAGCAGTGGGTGGAAGCTTGGCATATTGTGGTTACTGGGAAGATGAATCTTGAAAATGCATGGGTTTACATCTCTAGCAAAAACATTAACTAACGTGAAAAAGCAGTTGAGATGTGCTAAGTCTGAAATGCCAGGAACTTTACCTTTTCTTTTCTAATGGCCCGAGATCTTTATTTTGTAAGTAGAGGAAATAAACTAACGCCCTTTTATCTGGCTTTGCATAGCTCTTTGCAAAGAAACGTACAAGTTTTTCCACTGAAAATCCAATGTTACAACAACATTACTGTTCATCAAAGGCAGAAATGCAAGGCATCGTGTTTGCTTAATATTTTAATGGTATCAGGATTTGCCCACCAAAGGAACTCAGTTCTTACTTGTTGAAAGGCAAGGCGTAAGTGAGTAATCATCACAAATATGATAATTTTCCAAGAGTGATAAAGTGCATCAATACTGCCTATCTGGTTGTTATGTCATGCTTCCCCATACAAAAAAAAATTAATATATTCCACACAGAGCATAATTAGCTGGCTTCTGGTATTGCATGTACCTTGGCAGATGCAAGATTTTATTACTTTGTCACACAAAACCTCACCAATGCATTCTCTTCATTGTGTATGGTATCCTGTCTACCTAAATTTAACTATTTCACATGAACAGTTTCTCACTTGTAAATCAACAGTAAAAGGCTTTTTTATACTACCTTTCAACAAGATTCTTCTTTTCCTATATCTCTTGAAGACATTTATAACTGAACAGTGTTATGCTCAGCACAGTTCATGTCTGTTCTAGTTTTAGGTGTCTCTCCTCCTCATCCTCAGAGTTGGTCTTTTAAATTCCCGAAATAGCCCTTAGTTTCTCCAAATAAGTGGTTAGCCTCTAGCTCCCTGTCAAAGTGATCAGGTTTGATTCCAGAGGAGCATTATGTACAAATCCCTCTGAAGCTCCTCAACATCCCAGGTCGATTGAATGCAGTTTGATAGCTCCATTTCACCCAGGGGCCGAATGTGCTACCTGAACAGGCATCTGATTCCTGCAGACATTTTCTTGATGGTAAGAGGACCAAATGGGTTGTTTCAAGTCTGGCTGCCCTAGACACTGGATCCTCAAGACTAGATTCTTACTGTAACTGGTTTGTCACAGCAAGCAGCAGATGGCCAGCAGAAATGGCATGCTTTTTTCACTGGTCAAATACATACAGAGAATGTGCTGGTGGTGCTTCCAACATATAAAGAATTAATAAAAAGTCTGTACTACTCACAGACAAAGCAGGAGGAAAACAGATGAGTGGACCCTCTTTTTCCACTTTTCGCTGTGAAGTAGGAGACCATGGTAGAAAAGCGCAAAAACAGTTTCCCTCTTCATAGCCACACCTGGAGAACACAGTCCATACAGATCACTGAGAGACAGTGTGTAGAAGCCATCTTCTTAAAAGGTGAGCCAGATATGTATCTCCTACATACACAGAAAAAGTGTTAGCCACAGCTACTTCTGCAACAGCAGCAGAAGTTTCACTGAGAATGGAGAGGAAGGGAAGGAGAAAGCAGATAAACAGAGAAAACAGCAGCAGTAAAGTAGGAAAAATGTGTTTCTGGAGATGTCTATTAAAATAAAACCTGTGGTTCACCTGAGAAACCAATATCAAAGAGTGTGAGCTTTGGAAGTTGTGGAGAGCCCCAAGAATATCAGGAGATCTCTCGTTTTGGGGAGATAAAATTTAAATTTGCCAGTATGAATCTTCCCAGCTAAATCCACATATTTTTCCTGAAGATGGGTAGCTTGCATGACAGCTGTTCCACTGCTATATCACCTTTCAGAGAAGGATCTATCTTATTTCAATGGGATTTCCCTTAACTGGAGGCAATATAAAATAAGGTAATATAAAATTCTTCTCTCTATAGATATTGCAATATACAGAATACTTTTCTATGAAGTTCCTTCTCAAAATAACAAGTGTCCATGTGTATGTTCATACATTAATATCTGTGAATGTGTATTTATGTGCTTAAATAAGCTACATAGACAGCTCACAGTATCTTATTTTGCAGATTAAATTTTTCAGGAGGAGTTGATCTCAACGGTCATAAAAATACCATGCAAATGCATGTTAAAATTTTTTTTTCATATACCAGTGTTCCTGTTCTTTCAAATAATGTACTAGCTTTATGCTAAATTTTGCCTCATTTTTCTCAGTCACAGTTTGCCAGCATCTTTTTCATTCTGGAGAACCAAGTATTTAGAATTGGATATGTTTTTAAAGATGATGTATGTCCTGGGAGGTGTTTTTTTGGACAGACTCAAAAACACCAGTGGGTGTCTAGTAAGTTATAAGATAGTTAAGAGAATAGTGAATATAATTCGGTGCATCTCTTTGTAGTATCCTCTGACTGCCCTCACCTTTTGAACCCAGAAGTTACTGCTGCTGTAGCAGAAGCAGTAGGATACAATACACTCTTCTACAATTCACAGTTCAGAATATTAGTTAAGCCAACAATGAAGGTAACTTTGTGTGAAGACCCCAGATTGAGAACTGGAGAAGCTAGTGCGCCAGTGGGCATCCTTTTCTGCTGGCTGTGCTATGGAGTCTGGTCATGTCCAGTACAAGGAGTGGGAAGACCAGTAAAGCCAATAGTATCTTCAAATGCCACAGCTTAATTATCCAAAAAGCATGTGCCAGAGCATGTGCTCATGTGGAGCATATCTTCAGTGCAGGAGTAGATCTGATAATTTTTCCAGTGTGTCATGATACTAACATTCAGAGCACCCAAAATCACATGGAACCCTTTCTTCTTCTCCCATATGGCAGTAAATACCATGTTTCCTTTCTAGTATCACTCATAGCTCTTTCAGCTGTATGGTTGTCTGAATATCTCCCCCTCTCTGCTGAATCACTGCTGTATGGACAAATGTTTCCTGGACACACAATTCTGTTCTAAGCAATGCAAATCCTGGTGCATGCTGAGGGTTCTTTGCAAATGGACAGAGTCAGGAGCCAAGTGTGATGGCAGGAGGTCTCTCCCTCCCCCAGTCACCAAGTCAGGCCAGCAAGGCAACCCTTGCAAGCCAGCCCATATTGACTGTGGTTGTGGAACTTTTGGATGGTGTTTGTAATTTAGTGGAGCATGCTTCTGGCTAAGTGGAAAGGAGTAAACCTAACTTTTTTTAATACTGTAGGCTAGTTTTGCAATGCTGTGTACTAGCAGGAGAGAAGCTGATGCAGATATCAAGAACTGTCCCACACATCGTTGGACCATTTTAATGCAATCAATCTAAAATGGCACACTTATTTGGTATCAAGGTGGTAGTATATGGTGATAGACCTGAGTTGGGGCCATTCTCTTCCCATGCTGCCTTGCTTAACTGCACACATACTCCCCTATACCACCTACGTAAACAGCAGCCAAAGGTGCCAACTGTACCATTACTCAATGCTTCCCCTTGACTGATTGACAAAATGACATGGCAGGCCTGTGAGGGAAATACCTGCTCTTTCACTAATTGACAGAATGGTGCTTTTGAGAGTTCGGGAGTGGAGGTGGTTATGAAGACATGCAGGAATTCATCCATTCCATCTCTCCCCCAGAAGATTGACTTCATATAGTCAGTTTCTGTTTATTGAGATGAAGATGTTATATAAAAGTCTTAGGCAAATTTTAACATTTACTCCAAATGAGAAACAGTTTGTAATACCCTGTAAGGGAGTTGGGGTCTCATTATACCAGTGTATCACCTAACCCACTTGTAGCATGTTTTGTCCAGTTTGCATACACATAAGTGATAATAAATGGTGCAGATAAGTGGAGATCCATCCCATTCATTTTGTTTTTATAAACCAGCAGCAATGAAAGCCCATTGTAGTTTTTTAAGAAGTTGCTAGAAGAGTATGTTATTTTTAAACTTTGAAGTCCCTATAAATCAAAGCATGTTTTATTTGGAGGTCCTCTTTTTCTAAGTAAATGTAAAGTGTTCTTCTTCATATGGGAAATCTACTCTTTTGTGATATGATGATAGTATGCAAAAAATGTGAAATATAATTTAGGGGTTTTTTTTAAGATGAATGACTTTTTCATTGTTTTATTGCTAATAGCAAATGCATTTCAAAATCAAAGTAACTTGCTAGAATCCACAGATCTTTACACTACTACTGAAATTGTGTTTTGATGTCTTTGACATGATCCCTGATTGCTGTGAGAAGAATCAGTTCAGTATTTTTGTTCTTAGATTCCCCCTCCTTTGTCTTGCAGCTACTTGTGGCAGATTCCATTAACAATTGCAGTAGGAAATACGAGCCACATCTCATCAGAGGCAATTATATGGGTGTCTAACAAATCAGGTAAAAATAAACTTTCCTCCCAGTGGAATCTCATAAAGCATACTTCTGTTTTCCTCAACTGTTTCGTTGGAATTGATCCTAGATAATTGTTTGGTTGCTCTGCACCCAGTTTTAGCTACTTAAAATGAATTACAAAGAAAGAGAGCTGGGAAGGGAGGGAGGAGGAATGAAGGATGAAAAACTGGCAAGATTTGTAATTATTGCAGAATTTAGCCAGTATAATGTAAAGCTTTTAGATAGAAATGTGTATCTAAGTGCTAAGTATTTTATATTTGGCAACACATATCAAGTCATTGATTAATGAAATTCACTTTATTGATTGGTGAAAGTTAAATGTAATTTTTTTATAACAAAGCATCTCATGAATATGATTTAGTAAATTTAGAATTTTAGCATTTTTAACTCCAATCCATAGTCTGAACCGTGGCTAAGAAATGTTTTCTGTCATTAAAATTTTCCTTATTGATCTATCAAAAGTATTTTTTATTCTCTCTATTAGATAACTATATCTGGACCTCAGAAGTGAATTATTCTGCTTGCAACTTATTTTCTTCCTTCTCAGTTCCTACAAGATCATAACAGTAATAGTTATTGTCCTGAGGACAGTGAGTGCTAGACCACAGTAGGTTTTTATCACCTAAAAAAGGAATCCTGCCATAGAAATTTCATGAAATATTTCTCTATTTCCTTAGCAGTTTATGCTACATCATCTGTCAGTTTTGGACTGGAATTGAAGAGAGTGAGGGAAGACATATGGAGTCTTGAATAGAATGATTATATGGAAGGGAGGAGAAGAATCCATGCATCTCCTTGACACACGGGCTGTAGAGGGAAAACTGACCCCTTCTTGTAAAATTAGAAGGGTATAGAGATTTGCCTCTAATAGAAACTTAATGGGAGAGAGGAGGGAAGGCAAACCTGTGTGAGCCTTTTTTTCTCTAAGTTACTAAAATATATTGGTCACATAGAACTTAGCTGCCAGCAGGACTGAAAATGAATGGTGCATGGTCAGTAGAAATCTGAGTGCCTCCTCTTTCTAGTGATACAAGGTACACGTTTCTTTGCCCTGATTGTTTGCATCCCATGAGTAAGTAATGTGTTTTATGCTGCTCCCATGATATCATGATCTAGAAATGTGCCTGTGACCAGGGCTCTTTTCATACCTGGGAAACATACTCTAGTGAGAGCATGCAGATGCCTCACTTTTCAGAAACTTACTTCATTGGCCATATTTTTAAATATTAAAACCTCCAAAATACTTCAAAACCTGTTTGCACTTTCACAGTCTGCCTTAATGACCTGCTCTGCTTTTGTCCTTTAGGGCTTGATTGAACTCTCACTGAAGTTAAGAGAAGGGTTCCTACTGACTTCAAAGTTTTTAGATCATCTCCTCTCATCTCATCTCATCTCATTTCATCTCTTCTCATCAGGTTACACATGCATGCCTCCTTCCCTTCACTCCTGCCTTCTAAGTTCAGTGTATCACTATTATCTGCATAGATGCTTCCTTATTGCCTTTTACTTGCAGAGTTCTGTGGAGGAACAAGGCCATAAAACTGCTACCCACCCTTTTAAGATCCACTGCTCCAATCGGAATGCCTTCAAGAAATCAACAAATTAATGATGGCCAGTGTGAGCAATGATTTTGGTGTGGCTGCTATATAGAAATTAAAGAGGAACTTTTCTCAGTCGTCAGTCTCCTGTGTAGCAAATCAATGGCACTGTGATCTATTGTCATTATCCTTGTTCTTCCTCATTACTTTCACTCAGTCATTCACTTTCTGTGCCTCATTGAGAATGAGACTGTAAACTTATTACTACAGCAGGGATGTCCTCTTGCCTTCTGCTTATTGTTGTCTAGCTCAGCTGGAGAATTCCTTTGCATAAAAAAGTCAGTAAGAACATTCCTGGATGTACTCAATGTATGATTCATTGTACATGTTGTTATGTATTGGGGCTGGTATAGATGGTTCTGTGGTACTCCTGGAGTTTTTCTGCCGCTGGTATGTTTGTTTCATGGGGATTTGGGTGGTATTCTGGGACTCCAAAGGGCAGTTTCCAGGATTGATTCTTGTGGACTGGAAGAATCCTGAAGACTTTCTGTTATACAGAGGACATAGTTTCAGTGTTGTCTTGGTGAGTAGTCTGGGAACAACTCTGCAAGCTGGAGGTGAAACAAACTGCTCCAGAGGATATTTGGAAGATTGGGAGTGGTCACATTTTTCTTCGAGTGTAGCTGAATGCAGATATTTAAATCAAGTTTGGAGCACGTGCTGTTCATGAGGATGGTTTCCATGTCCTTTTTAGGAAAGAGTAAGCAATTCTTTCTTGTTGACTAAACTGTCATGCTGAAGAAGCTTCCAGTGTAACCTGAAGAGTGGATAGGAGGTGATGAACAGCTCTCTTGTTTGTCATGCAGTACTGATCACAGACCTCATTTCAGTGCCAGTAGTGAAGAGTCCAAGTTAATGACTACCATTATGATATCTTGGCATATCACTTAAATTTTTCAATAAAATAACCTTGTCTGTGGTTTGTCTGAAGGAAATGAAACCATAGCAGTTTTGAAATAGCTACATATATTGCCATTAAGAAATATTCCTTTTTTGTGGCATTTCAAATAACAACTTCCCATGGGAGTAAACCTGCCTTGCACTAAAGTTCATCAGGGATAGTTATTTGCTGATGCAAGAGTCTTTTCGTTCATGTACATACAGAAAAAGACAAGAGAGAGAAGTGCTGGGTTTGAATCCTCATTGCTACATCAAGATATTGCAGGATGCTAATTGGCATTTTCATGAGCAAGGGATAAGAGGCTGCCGTATAGTCTTGTGAGAGTCACTGAATGTAGGATGATTGAGTTGCTGCTCTCTACTCATCCTGGCCACGTCTGGCCACTACCAGAGCTAGTGAGCATGTAGATTACTGATTGTTCAATATGCTGAGCAGGATTAGGTCAGATAACTGCAGATCATCCCAACTGCTGGCAACAGAGCTAATTCAGTCCATTCTTCACAGCAGCAAAGTGAAGGGACACGCTGGAAAATTACAGCTATGCAGTGTCTTTTTGAGATGCAATTCATTGTCATTTGCAAGAAATCATGTTAGGAAGGACAGTGCCAGGCAACTTGTCTGACAAAGTGCATAATCTCCAGGATATTTCATATTCAATATAGCTCTTCCCACGTGTTTGTGGAAGGTATGTAGTCATAGTTTTGGAAGCTTTTCATTTTGCAGTTGTTTCTGCCTGTCTTTTTTCTCTGTACCCAGTGAGCCATAGCATTTATGTGAACATATTTCTACTCATCAGTTCATGTACCAGCCATCAGACGATGGCCCTTTTACTGGCTTAGTTTGGGTGTGTGAAATGCAGCTCTCTGGTTTGCTCTCAGAGTGCTGCACAAATAGGTCACCACTGTCTTTTCCCTGGTCACTTCTCATAGCCATGGATGAAACTGTTCTGCTTCAAGTGAGTGTAAACCAGTCACAAAGAAGACATCTCATGATTAATGTTCCTGTCCATACTGAGGTCAGAGACATCACACTAAGGTGGCTGCAATGGTCTTTGTGTCGCAGTCTTGCATGTCTGCTGAATGATAAATTTCATTGGCACTGTGGAAATCATTGGTGTTACGAACTTCTGCTCTGTCATAGTTCCAAGTGTTGTTTCTGTTTCTCCTAGATAAATTGCCTCTTTTGTTGTTGCTATAATGATCTATGAACATGTATACACAACATTTTGGGATCAGCCCCAAATCAGTAGTGGGTAAAAAGTCAAAGACTAGTTTTGAACTCATTCTGCCCCCACAAGATGACTGCTTAGCAGGGCTTGTGGTACATTGTTGGTGATTGCTGCTGAAGGCATGCTAAGTGTGGAAGCACAGGCTGACCTGTTGTGTTTTGACAAATCCAGGAGAACTGACCTTAACCTCAAGTGAGGAAGTTTAGCTAGCATCCATTTCCAGTGGGTGAGCAGGGCTTTGGAAAAAGGCATACTTATTGTTCCGTGGGTCTGGTTGTTCTGACACTCAGTCTCCAAGTAGGAAACATTTCCATGCAACTCAGCAAGTGCTGCTGAACTGATTGTTGCAGCTTTACAGCCTGCCTCCATGCCCTTTCCATCCCCACCTCCTGTTCCTTGACTGATTTGTTATGTTCCAGGGAAATATTCCTCTGACGGACCTCCCTGCCTCTGGTAAAGTGACTGCCATTCAGACTCCTCTTAGTATCTCTTCAGGATTGCTGTGAGATGGGGGAAGGAAAGTTCAACAGGGCAATTGCCTTCCAAAAAGCAAGTCCTAATTTAGTGTGCCACCTCCTACTAGATAATCTCTACTTTAACTGTGAACCCCTTGAGAGGCTGATTCTCCTGATGAAGTGTTTTGTAGAAGACATGCTTCTGAGGTGGGCTTTGCTGTCTGCCTGCTGGGGAACAGAGCATTAGTTGCACCTTTAGAAAAATACCCTTTCTTTTCCCTTCTGAGACTCAGCTGCTGAGCTTGACCTGTGTTGCTTCCATACTCCACTCTTTTATCTTAAAAAAGCAGAAGGATAAGAAGCACTGTGAAGTAAAATAATTAGATAGGTCCTGCTTTGAGCTTTAGCCAGCCATCGTGAGGACTGGGGATATGACTGCAGTCCTGGTATAATTTTGACAGCGAATCAGACTCACTCCCCTTACCCCAAGAGCTGAGCAAAGATCCTAACAAAAGACTGCTTCTTACACTGTGTATCACCTTAGACATTAGCAGTTCCATCATATAGGAATGTTAATGCATGGAAGGGTAGTCTGAGGAAAGAGTATGTGAGACTATATTTGTTGATTTGCTCCATTTATTGTCTTGTTTACTATACCAGAACATTTTCTTTCAACATGCAGTGATGGCAACATGCAAGTGAGATGCAACTTTTCTTCTTTGCCTTCTCCCTGTATGAAAAGTTATTGCAAGAATATATGCAGAATTTAGTTAAAACCAGTATCTTTTAAAAAAATATTGTGATGAAATTCCTCATGAAACATTTCCTTTGTCAGAAAAAAAATCACTTGCTGTTGTTGACATGAATTTGTGCTTACTCTTGTGCAGTTGTTTTTGCAGGAAAACAGAGTCAGTTCTCCCAGTAGGGATTCTACCAGCATAAACCAATTTCTTAGTATGCTAGGGGTTGTATAAAATGTAGAGTTAAAATAACAATTGTGAGTCTGAACACTTGAAATAGTATTGGAACTGTGTTTAGCTCATGCTTTTGGCAGCATTGGAGTACTGTCATGAAGAGGGGTGCCCTTCTCCCAAACTGCCTCACAAGGTTCTTGTGTTGCATTGCAGAGGAGCAGGCTTCCATCATTTCTGCTGGGTTTGGTGGGGTTGAAGTTGCTTGAGAGCTGGGAGAGCTCAGAACTTCAAGCCACGTGCAGTTAGCACCAGCTGGAGGACTGTCTCACACTTCCAGAGCAGAGAAAATGCGAATAATACTCTGACTGATTTTCTTACTTCAAAACAAGTGTCATTAAATTTAACCATTTCCTCCTAAATGTTTCTTATACGTATGTGGCAAAACTGAAAATTTGAGAGTAGTGTTATTTTCTGAGGCATCCAGACAAAACATGACCGTGGAAAAGCACTTTCTAATGGAAGAAAATTAAAAGAAAAAGATTCCCTTTAATCTCAAATACAACTGGATATAAATTTTAGATTGAATTTGACAAGGTGAACTAAAGCCTTCAAAGATAGATTTCTTCCCAAATGAAATCTTTGTTGTTGTTTAGAATGTCATGAATGCTTTAATGTAGGGTTTAACACTGAATGACTATCTTTTCCCTAACTATAATACTTTTAACAGGCAACTAATAAATGTGTTTGTGGTGAGTGGAGACATTACCCAGGTGTATAGAAATTTTCAGTGCTGCAATCACCAAAAGAAAGAATTTCTTTTATAGGAAGGCGTGAGAATTGACAGTCACAAACATCAAATTCTACTAAATTGTATAGAATTATGTGAAGCACATGCATCAGGCAGTCCCTTAAAATAACCAGCTCGTTATATGAGGGGGGAAGGCATGAAAGATTCCTGTCCTGTATTTCAGGAGAACATCAACACGTGTGGTCTTATTGAAAAATAATAGCAAGGGGTTATGGTTCAATTCAAATTGACTAAAACAGCAATAATGCCATCAAGCTTTGAAAAGATACTGTTCTCCATTAAAGTGGTATGTGTTGGGGTCTTGCACAGCTGTTATTTGTGAAATAGGTTATTTTGAACTTTTAATATTTGACTGGCAAGTATAATTCAATACTCTATTAAAGCATAAGTGATTTCCACACTTCAGAAATGAAAATTTAGCACAAATACTCAAACAAGAAAAAATGTGAGTTTTTTTAATTACATCTGATTTTGCAAATTTCCATTTTAATTTATTTATTTACCCAGATATTGCTTAATGTGCATCCATAGCCCATTTGTTATGCCTTAAGGTAGTATAATAGAGGGGCAGTGGTTAACCATTTACATGTAGCTGTTTTCAGGGATGGTGGCATTTAGAGGTTAGTTTGCAACTGAAGAGCATAGACAGAAAGTCATACTACATTAAGGTGTTAGGATTTCCTGCCAGGCTTGGGCAGCCTGCTCCTGACCCCACCATGGTAATGCATGCCTAAAGACCCAGAGAAACCCAGTCATCCTTTCCCTCAGCAGTGTCTCCTAGATAGAGAAGTGGGTATATTTGTTGTTGCTCTTAAGAAATCCACTAGGTTGATAAGGAACATAGCTGAAATTTAGGGCTGACAGTCTGTCTTCACAGCACCACATTGGGTAAACTCAGGAGGATGGAGTAGATCCAGATTCAGATTTCTTCGTTCTCTTTTTTACAGCAGATATTTGATCCAAATCTGTTCCAAAAAAGTGCCTATATCACTATGCTGTAACTATTACGATCTTTTACAGTATCTCTACAGTAATGTTTTTCTTTGTATATGGTGACACAGGAAGCAGGATTCAAGTCTTCTATAAGTAGGATGAAGCAAGTGGTGGTTTTGACTTCATATCCAATGAAAAAAGGATTTAAACAGGGGAATAACTTCAGTAGAGCATTCTAAGAGAGTTTGTTTGGCAGTGAGCTATACAGACTGGTGTTTAACACTCTCCTGTGGAAGAAGGGACACATAGTGTTAAAACCTTGTTCCAAATCAGATTGCATGGCAAAAGCAGCTTAGGTGTTTTGACATTGAATGTCTGGGAAGTCCACAGAGTTGTAGAACTTAATTCTGATTTTCTCAGTCCCATTTCTGCAGGATATGTTGGCTCCTAAAGAAAGTGTCTGCTTGGTGCTTTATCACAGATTGCTAAATGGATGTAATCTGTATTTTAAGTAAAACCAGGAGTCTGTATTTTGTTTTTCTCATTTGTTTGTATAGAATAATTAAATTGAGCAAGCAAGTTAGACAAACCCTAAATGATCAATAATGATTGAATTGAATAGGCAACAACTGAGCTATTCTGGGTTTAATATTTCTTAAGAAGTTTATTTGTAAGAGATTTTAATAATTTCAGAACAACCTAGGAGAGGACTTTTTTAATCCTGCAGCCTTTTATCTAAATTCATGTGCAAAATCCAGCTCCATGAACTTAAACATATAATTAGGTGTTCTAAGATTGGGGTCTTCCTGATCTTTGTATTTATTGCACCTTAAAATAATAGTTATTTGTGGGTTTTCTATTAGTCAAGGGAGAAGCATAACTTCTATCTGTAGTCCTAGTCATCTATCATTTACTCAGAAATCGCTTTTTCATAAGAATGACTGAAACAAATCTATTTCTTTAGTAAGTCTGTGTCCTAGATAGTATGTGTAAATTGTAAAGACCATATTGTTAATTGTTACTTTCAGGGAATTCAAGCACACCAAACAATTCCCTGGTGGAATTACATTTATAACAAATTTAATTATTTTATGTTTGTTTGGGGTTTTGTTTTGTTTTGTGTGTTGGGTTTTTTTGTTTTGTTTTTTTTTGTGTGTGTGTGTGTTTGGTTTGGTTTTTTTAAATGTGTGTACAAAATACAACAGTATACAAACTAATTTAGTTCCAGTAGAAAATAATGTTTCTGAATTTTTAGGGCATTCTGGTTCATGATTAGTTTTCTCAGAATAATTGACTAGATTGAAGGCTTCTTCAAGAGACATTGAAGCCTGAGGCTTCATCCTGTTGTGATTCTTTCCATAGTGAAAAAGAAGAGTGTGTTGCGAGTTCAGGGCATTTTTGTTGTCGCAATCCCTAGTCTGCAAAAAGTTGTAGACTCCCTGACTGTACAAATACTGTAATAAATTTAGACTTTCAACCCCAATGTGATTACTTGAAATGAGGAGAAATATAAAGAACAGGTTAGTTGATATAAGGTTAATTAGTCTAGCTCTAAAGAGGAGCCCCTCAGTGATTAGTAGCTAGAAGCTTGTACAACTGGAAATACTGTAATTTAAAATCCGGTCTGAAAATACATGCAGAAACATTTAAGAATTTTTTTTTTATCACAGGTTTAGCCTTCTCTCTGTAGCACATCCATTGAATTACTTGAGTTATAGTTGTAGGATACTGTTTTACCATGGACAGAATCAGGATACCAGACTTAAAATGGGTACCTCTCATATAAATAATATTTGCCAGGTTAAAAACCCACCTTTGGACTTCCATGTGGGTGAAAGGTCCCCATAGGAATGTCAGCTGTTATCTCTACATCAGAACAGATAAAGGAAGTCATAAATCAAATACAACGTTTTTGTTACTCTTTGAATTATTTTTACTGCTTTTTTTGTAGATTTAAAGAAGGATGAAATTTGACAGATATGTCTAGAATGTTTTAAATTTAAAACCAAGACCCCTTCCCTTCTTGTTCTTTGTTTCCAGAACATCACAGAATTCCTGCTTTGGAAGAGGCAAATTGGTTGCTGGGGAACATCAACCAGACTGGCTACTTCAGAGTTAATTATGATATTAGGAATTGGAGGCTGCTAATTAATCAGCTAACAAGGAACCATGAGGTGAGCTCCTCTTCTCATCCCTAAAATCTGCTTTCATAGGTGAACCTCCACTGTTTCATCATCCTAAATGGTTCGATTTTTGTGCTTGCCCCTCACAGGTTATTTCTGTCAGTAATCGAGCAGGTTTGATCGATGATGCATTCAATCTAGCCAGGTATGTTTTCCTGAAGATCATCTATCCTCATACACATTGCTGCAATAACTCATGCAGCCATTAACTCAGCAGTTGAGACAGTTGAGTGTGTTTCAAAGTTAAATATGTTTTAAACACACTTTAGTTCTTTTCCCCTCCCCCCCCTTTTTTTTGTATGGCACATAAACATGGTCTGTAGCACATTCACCACTCTTGATCAATAATTGCCGTAGGATATTTCCGAGTCTGGAGAGATCTGATCAATTTTGCACCAAGTTCAATTTAACATTTTGGAGATAAATAATCTCTTTCCTCTTTCTAACGAATGAGGGAGGTTTTTTTCTTCTCTTTCTCTCAAATACCCCACCTTTCCTTTTTTTAATAACTGACCATTGTGCTGTATTTAATTTGTGATGGAAGGCACTTTCAGCTTCAGTAATTTTTTTTGCCCTGACTTGTACTGTTATATCACTTTTCTAATATCTTTCTTTTCCTGTAATCTGCTAGAACATACTTTTTTTTTCTGTGTGATGCCTTTCACACAGAATGCTAAGAGCAGTTCCATTGAGCGTATCTGGAGTTTATGCAACATTTTGTGTGTTACTGTATAATCAGAGTAAATAATTAGCACATATAGTGCTGGTTAGGTAGTGCTTTCTTTCCAAATTGAAGAAACAGAATTGTCCCCATTTTGAAATCAGGGCATCCAGTATGTTGGTAGTGAAAGGGTAAAATTAGAGGAAAGTAATGGAATATTACTTTCTTTTGATTTTTTGATTCCTGATTCTTGAGGTACCTGATGGATTTTTGAGGTAATAATTTGATTTTTGAGCTACCTGGAAATATTTTGATTCTTGAGGTACCTGGAAACATTGCATCAATAATGCTTTTTAATTGCATAATTTACAAAGTTAATTGCAAAATTACAAATAGTGTAATTTTAATTGCACTGTGATTTCAAAGGTAGCATAAGAAGAATTGCTGACACCACTGTCTTTTCTGGTGGTGTGCTTATAGCCATATTTGGTTAGGGGCTCGCAAGAATTTGTGGTACTGAGGTATATTTACCTACAAACAATCACTGGAGGTGTTTGAGATGCAGTCACAGTGTCACAGCTCAGTGATGTTCTAGCATAACAGCAGTAAAACACAGTTGTATTTCTACCACTCTGTTCCTGCTTCTGACATAAATTAGTGACTAGCCCTAACTTAAAAGTCCAGAGATGTAGTAGGGAAGGAGTTATCATGGGGGCAGGAGCATCCGTTTGCTGTTTGCACTGCCCTTCATCCTTGCTATGTGGCATTTTCCTATTGGCAACACTGAAGGACTAGAAATAGGTCATTACTTCAGACTCAGCAGACCATGAATTGTCTACTCTCTGGCTACTATAATATTGCAGAGTATTCTGAAATACATAGGCTATTACATGAACTCCCAAATGTTGAGTCGTGTCATAGACTTTTCAAGTTTTATTTGGTTTTGGCACCTCAGAGTAGTGTGCAGTTACACAGAATCAGTGTGATACCTACTTCTTCCATACACTGAATGCAGTCAGATATAGCTAGACTTCCCTGAAAATCTAGACCCTGAAAAAAGCTGTTTCTTAAGCAAATTTCTGTAGGTAAGTGTTTTTCTTCTGAGTCAGTATGGAGCCAGTGCTCTAGGATGTCTTGTACATGGAGCATAAAGGCAAGGTCTTGATTAAAGGCCCAACCTGCATTGTCTGGACAGGTTTTGTCTGCCTTAAAACCACCCAAAGATTAGATGAGTAATGCAATCCCCACTAGTTTTCCAAAGTACTTTAATGGTGATACTGGATCCTGCTGCTTTTTCAGAGGTAACTACACCAGAGCAGTGTGAAGTTTTCACAAGTAAAATCTTGACTTTCTTTTGTTAACAATGAGCTGTAGTGGACTGCTGCTGCATTTAATACTTGTGCACCATGAAAAGATGTAGTGGAGCTAATAATTTATGTATATATGCATGTGCATACATAGATATCACTTATGAGGTAATATTCTTTCAACAGGAATACATAGCTAGATTCCTGTTTCCAGAATCCTGTCAGTAGTATTACGTTGAGTATGTGCCTTACAAGCTAGTCTGGATGGGGAAAGATCTGTATGTTTACAAGTACTCTATATTTCAGGACTAGCAATAAGATATGTGGACCTGGCTAGACTTGCCATGTAGGGTATACTTTTTGTTGATCATTTTTATGTTATTCATGTATCATCTTTCCTATTAAAAAAAAAAACCAAACAATTATAGTGATGCTGAAGTTAGTCTAATTAGCGAACTGTGATAACATGGTAACTTTTTAAAAAGTGCTTGGTATTTTTATTTTCATTTCCTTTCTCCCAGACAAAGAAAGATCAGAAATAGGCCTAATCCTTGCCCTGTTCCTTTATAATGAGTAGGACTCAGGAGGCATTAAGAGACTGTTAGGAGTGTGTTGAAGGAAGGCCTTGATGGCAAAGCATCTGAACTTCTTGTAGTAAGAAAACAGATAGAAAAGCTCTTGCTGGGATAAGCAGTGGGGAATTGCACCCTGATGCTGCAGTGTGGTGCAGTTGCTCCTGCAGTGTCTGGTGCTCTGGTGTGATACAGCAGAGTTCCTAAAACAAGTTCTGGCAGCTATCAGAATCATACAGACTCTTTCAGTTTCCTCAAAAACTCAGTGTTCAGATGGCTACTGTCAGCCTAAAGGCAGCTTAGCTTTCCCTCCCTTGGCTGCGAGGCACAGTGCAAAAGTTGCCTCACTTTCTTTTAGAGCAGTACAATGGGTTGGATGTTACCTGCCTTGTGGATGTAGTGCTGATTCAGTCTTGTCTCCAGTGCACCATGTGCGTTTCTCCCTGCCCATATAACATGATGTGATGGGAAGATTAAACACATACGCTTGTCCCCATGATGTGGGAAAAGGTGAGTAACCTTATGGATCAGGCGTAGAGGTAGTAATTGGTAGTTCAGACCTGACTTCTGAGAAGACTGGCTGGTTTTAACAGTAATTCAGTCCTCAGTTTTGGTCCCTAGTTGCAATGTTATCTTCTTGTCTACAACTGTAAATATACACATTTTGAGAGAGAGAACTGTGGAATACATACTTCTGTTTTAATCCCTATCTACTGTTTTCAGTGATAAAATAATGCAAAAATTAAAACATGACTTCTTAAATTCATGCTGGTCCTTTTAAAAATAATTTCACATATAAACAGTTATTTTTACTGTACTGAAGAGACTATATTTCTTCAAAATACCCTGTCCTTCTTATAAGCTTCTGAAGTACTCCCTAGTGTATTGCTGAACTTAACACACATAATACCAGAAGGGATCGACTCAGTTTTTCCACTGTCCTGATATGGCATGTCCTAGTATGATATTTCTCTGTAGTTTTACTGGTAATTGATTTTCTTTGTGGAACACATACAGGTCTTTTCTTTAGTAAAATTTAATAATATTTAGGTCTGGTGAAATATGAAAAAATGCTCATGTAAGTTATTTTGGAGCATTAAATTTTAATTTTTTTAAGATGTATTTGATTTTATTCCTTTAAAATGTTTATTATCCTTTTACTATACAGGATAATGATTTCTTAAAAATAAACAGCATAAATGAATTGATACTACCAAGAAATATTTTCAGCTCTATATGTTTAATTTCATAATTTTTTGTCCCTTTTATATGGAAATACACTCCTTAATCTTCCTTCTTGGTATATTTTGATTCCATAAAAGTCATCAAGGAGATTTGAATGGAAGAATAACAATAAAATAAAGTTAAAACTTTTTTTTCAGATTTTTAAGTGTAATTCTGTTCTTGGCTGTAGTGCATGCACGCACCCGTAAGATCAGTAAAGCTGTAGTCTTGGCAGTAACATAGCTTATGGAAATTCATGCCCCACATTCTTGAGCAAGAATATCACCTTGGCACTCTCTCTTACCTTTTTCTTAGGATCGTTTATCTTTTGGTTTATATGAAGTTTCAGTACAATTTGAAAATTACATTGATTCTAGTAAATAGGGCTAGTAAATGTTGACTGAGGAAGCCGAGGGAAGGCAGATAGAACTTTGGTCTCTCCTAATGTTAAACAAAGCAGAGGGCAGTTCAGATAGCTCCAATAAGTGTCAAAATAAATAACAGAGATCCAACTGTTTCTTAAGAGTGTGAGTAATGTTTTCAACTTCTTCTGTCTTTCTCTTTCCTTAGTATAACGGGTCAGTTAGTGAGCATGTGAAGTGGGATACCTCCCACTTTACTTCAGGCACCCCGAAGGTAGACCTATAAATCTGACATTCTAATCTTGTAGTGCACTGACAGTTAATGGAGAGAAACATGCACCTGACCTCTCAAAACCACTTAACCACATAGGATAAGATAAATTGCCCACTTAATGTCAGGAGTGTTGTGTCACCCCTAGTTCTTCCTTGATGGACTCTAAATCTTCCCTCATTAAACTGGTTGACTTAAGCCAATATTATGTGAAAGAAATAGGTCTGACTTGTATTTGACATTAATCAGTGTTGGATCAGATGTGACTGTGAAGACCTAGTTTACTGTAATCTAAAATAATTATTGTTGTTTCTGGTCCTGGAAGCACTGAATGAGAAATAATGTTGCTAATAACCGTTCTTACACTCCAAGGATGGATGGCTGTGTTGAAGTGCTGTCCATTTCCTTGCACAAATTAGGGGGAGAGTGAGCTATAGTCTCTACAGATGAAGATTGCCCCTGTAGACTTCACAAGTATAGGGAACTGTGTCAGAAATGAGCAGTAACAAAAAATATGCCTTCAAAATTATTTGTGAACTAAGTGACTTACATGTTGTAAATGGCCTTCAGAAGTGTTCCTCTCTTTCAGAATTTCATATAGCAATACAAAATGAGGATCCTGGTGCAGATAGATATATGATGAGTTATGATGATTATTATCCTGCTGTTAATCAATCAATTCTTTTGCCTTGCTTCTTTCCAAGCTGTGAGTCTTGCTGACTCTGGAAAACCAAAGTCCGAGGGTAAG